GTGGTATATTGGGCTATTAAATAAATAATTACTTTGATGGTATGGAACAGAAAAAATTTCAGGGTTTTGAATACTTTGCTTCAGGGCTCTGAAGCTCATTAGGGACAACAGATCCGAACAGTCTGTAAGGCCTGAAATCATCTTGAAAAAAGTGTGCAAAGATCAAAGTATTTATGGTACACCATTATCTTGACTCTCATTTCATGAAGTATGTAGCTGTGGTACTTTAGAAACTTATTCTGTATAGCCTTGATTCCATCAATATGCACCTGATATGAAGGTACCAAATATACGAAGCATAATTTAGAAGGGATTTGACTAGAGCAATATACAATAAGTGGGATGATAGTGACAGCTACGTCTGATGAATCCTATTCGGCGTGGACCTCTAAATACTAATTTATCAATATGAGACTGAAAAAAGAGCTTGCAATCAAAAACCACCTACCTCCAGCTCAACTCTGCTCAGATAGGTACCTTTAATGAAGTGGTTGAATTAAATTGGGGATTGTTTGTCGTCTCCAAAATATTTGATTATCTCGTAACAGATCTTTCTGCAACAGTCTAACTAATCAACAACATGGCTTTTCAAAATGTGAATCCACAGTGACAAATTCATTATTATATTATTATATCAGGATATATTTGATGCATTTTTTCAAGATTCATTATAAATATACAGATTTTTCAATGGCATTCCATAAGGTCAACCACAATATATTACTATTGATTTTTTTCAAGGACAAAACACAAGCACTACAGAAAAATCCTTAAGGCGCTCTGAGAGCAGTGCCTGTGCGAAAGTAGCGATTTACATTGAATTTGAATCGCCGGAGATTAAATCCCTTTGAAAAAACGTTCTCACTTTTATTTCACATAAACACACTCCTCCAAATAAAAGATAAAGATTGAGAAACTTCCAGAATAGTCAACACAAAATAATTCCTATCCCAGACAGTTCTGTAGGACAGTTTTAAATTCTATGTCGAATTCTCATATGTTCCGATGACAAAGTCATATTGGTGAAGTATCAAGACCTCTGAGTGTTCGATAAAGAGAATAATGCAGGTCGACAATCTATTGGATTGATGAAATTTTACTAATTATACTAAAACCAATAATGATTGAGAGTAGAAGTAAGCCCAGTTGACAGCAAATCGGGGGTGTGCTTATTAATTTTTGAGAGGGTTAAGAATGTATAAAAGTCGAATTTTCTAGATTCAAAGTCGTATTTCCAAGAAACAAATAATAAAAATATGTGGCCCTTCTGCGCTTCCGTAGAAACCAATACCTGACAGAGATGTCAGCTACTAGAACAGAGAGTAATTTCGATATGTCTCAACCGCCAATGTGTTTCACATCAAAAAGGAATTTATTTAACCTATTTGTCACTACTTTTCTATTGGAAATTGACGAAATTGACATTCATGTCAAATAATGGATACTCAATAATCTTATGGTACTCCTTAGCTGACACCCATCTTCTAACTCCAAAATTCATCAGTAAGTGATTAGATTTGACACAGTTGCATCTCTAAGATCTTTATTGATAGTAGTAAATAACAAACTTGCCTGCAATCATCAATTTATGTCAGCAAACGGTTAATTACTATTTTATTGTCCTTAACAATTTAGTTAAGGAAAACCGCTTCACAAGCCACAGAATGAATGTTTTGTTAGAAAATTGAAATGTTTTTGAGACAATTCATTGTGGAGAAAGAAGCAGCGGAGCTAACCGCGGCACTAAAATAGTTCAGAATTACTTTTGATACATCCAGCATTGCCGTTATTAGTTAATATTGCTTATTTTTTGACGTTCAGTATGAAAGTGTCAGTTATGGGGGGTATGTCAGAAATGGGTTCCATTACCTTATTCGGGATTCAATATCCAACAAGATGGCAAAACTGGCGCTGACTCAACAACGCGTTTTTCAGGAACAGTGAAATATTAATTTAAATCAATTTTTATATACGACAGCGAAAACTGTATTCCAATCACAACAAAAAAGAATCAAAATTCATGTAGTCGAAATGAAGTACTGTAGAACTGCCAAAGTTGTCAGCAGAATAGAAACGAAACCGTACGAGAAGAACTACAAACCGAAAGAGTATGTGCTCTGGTGTTTAAAAATGTGATAGAACTGACCAATAGTCCATGAAAATCCATTATAACGTATTCAAAAAACACTTTAATGTGTGTGCGTCACATCCGAAGATGCTGTTGTATAGCGGAACATGTGTCGCCGTTTTGTAAACTTTCAAATAAGTCTGTTTTTTGAATACGCTGGGGTGTTTACTCATCTTTCGAAACGCACACATTGCCTTCTGAAACTTCAAGTATCTGCATATGTTGATTTAAACGACAGTGACCTAAGAGTACGCCTGTTAGACAATATCCCTGCCATAGTATAATAATTATTTGGTAACATAGAGTTTGACAAATCTAGCTGTGCTTCTTGCGCGAACGATAAAAAGAGATGGTAACTGTCCACACTAACAACTTTCATCAGGAAGTACAATCGGATAACATATCGGATAATAAATCGGATAATAAATTCGGCAAGTGTTGACAACTACATGGGATCCTTATTTCTTTTTTTGTGCAGGTGGAAAATGATTGAAGATTATGAGTTATATATAATTGTAAATAATAGATACGTACATTCTCATCAACAGAAAATGAATAAACTTACAACGGGTAATAATACATAATTGAATGCATAGTTACTAGAAATGATTATGAAACATAGCAGGTAGATAATCTATAAAACATTGCTGGCAATATTGATAATAACATACATTTTAGATACATTTTATATATTTTATACATTTTATATATATTGCCTGACGATTATAACATGATTTTTCGTCAGGAAGTGTTTCGAATCCGGATGGACTACCATCTTCATATTCTTGTTCCGATGCAGTGTCGCTATCCTCATCATATAAATTAATAATCAAATCATCCACGATGATGTCTATCATGGAATCATTTGACATAATATCATCCTCAAATTTCTTTGCCCGTTCACAACGAGATTTCCATCGGTCAGAAGAAAACTGTTAAAAAAATCGTTGTAATATTGCACGACATCGTTGAATTTACATTTTTTTGTCGCCACGTAATCTTTCAGTCCAGACCGAACCAACTCTGTTGGATTCAAATCCGGGTGATATAGCGATAATCGTACGACGTTGTGATTTGCTGATGATAAGAGCATTTCATACTGCTTGAATTTTAGCTTATAGTTGTTTATGAGGGCGTATAATTCAGGTTTCAGCATTTTTTTATTCAAATGGAATATTCCTCTTTGATAAACATGACTAGCATATCGGCTTTTTTGGTCGATGTCGCATTATGTCGATTTGTTTATATGGAAGGATTATCGATCACCACAATGCTTCTTAACGGCAAATTCGGAATCAAACTGTTCTGACACTCATTTCGTATAATTATCAAAATTCATCTCGTTGTGATAATCACCTGTAGGTATTACAATTTGATTTCGATCTAATGTAAGCATTAGGCACAAACCCATTTTCACCATCCGCATGTATTATTATGATCACACGTTGCTCTTTACTAACAAGTTTTTTCACACCTTCCATGGTGTGTACCGTGAATATATGTTTCATCCATAGAAATGATAGGTCGGCATTCTTCTCTATAGGTCCGCATTTTCTTCAAGAATGATATCCTAAGTAGTCCTATCCTAAGACCACCGTGCTACCCTGATAGTCAATATCTCGTATGATAGTTTTATGAATTTCCCTAACCGTAGGAACTTCTTTCGCTTTGATATATATAGAAATTGATTATGCATCTGCGTTAAATTGAAAAATCAGCATCATCCATCACAATTTTGGAATTTCTGAAACATCTCTTTTTATCCCGAGTCGGAAATGTATTTTAATTGCCATTTTCATTTTTTTTTATCTCTAATTTGATTTTTCGTACAGTTCGTACGAAAACCCCTGTGGCCTCAGCTACTCGTTTTTAAACCTTCAAAGTTAAAAAACACTATTGGTTACAACTTTATTTATTATTATTTGGGATATCTTGTATAGTTACTGAAGCCGCTCAATAATAAAGTATACATTGTCCTAAATTTCAATCTATAACTTCCAAAAGTAAAGTAGAAAGAAGGAAGATGTGTATCATATATACGATCCTGTTACACCCCGTATATAAAGTATCAATGCTAGTAAACATTGAAAAAACCTACATCCATTTCAGCTCTAAATAAAGAACAGATATAACAAAATAATTTGATAAACTTTCATTTGTGATGACAACAGAATAGAACGAAGAAGATATTTCATCATGATATATCAAAATAATATACCTAAGCATTTTTCTACATTACATGTACGTACAATGGATGTACAAAACTGGAATATCCATTATACGTCCATATCTTGACGTACAGTGGATGTCCTCACAACATCCATGGACGTTTGGACTTGAGCCGGACGTAAAACAGACATCCGTGGATGTCGTGTGCTGTGTGGGTCAATACGCTGCTCACAATTTATTTGCTTTGTCCACTGAAAATATTGTTTTTTAATTTGATATTCGAAGACATTTTCAAAATCTACAATTTATTCATAGTTCATCACACAAAATAATTTCTTCACCTACTGTACCAACACGATGTTCACTACACGAGTTCCTCGATGTTAATGAGCTCTCACCTCACTCCACCGGCTTATCTACTGCGCATTCAATATTCTGTTCAGGTGTTCAGTGTTTGTTTGGTCTCTAGCAATGCCAAGGACAAGTTCTGGATCGATGAAACTACTCGCAGACAAAGTTATAAGGGATAGTGAACTAGTGAAAGAAGTGCGACAATTGTAAAGTGAACGTGAAGTGTAATTGATTGATTACAGTTTTGAATCATTAAGTAATATTACTGAATTAGATTAAGCGTATTACTTATTTATTATCAAGGAGATAGGTGGAAACAATGCTACGTGAAAGGTGTTGCCTACTAGCTCACCACGTTTTTCGTTCAGCTGTTCACAAGTAGATATTTCCGATAGCGCAGTCAAGAAATAAGCAGTTATACTCATTATTACATAAACGAGCATTACAATTGTATGGATTTCTCCTCGTTTCTGTGCTTCTTCGAAATTTGAGGGTTTGCCAAATTCCGTAAAATCAACAATGCTGCTGCAAATACTGAGCCACTTTCTGTGGTGCAGTCTGAATAAAAGGCAAGATATAATGAAGCTACTGAAGTTGACAATAACTGCTACATCTTCGCTTACATTAACGTCAGTTTTATCTGCAAAATTATTGGTAAAATGTGGTCATGTAGTCCCATTACCTATTAGTTATTATCATAACAGGCGACCAAGAAAATTAACATTCTAGGAGCTGGTACTTTACGACCTGATTAAATTAAATTCGAGAACGATCATCTTTCAATAATTTTTTTTTGTCGTCGCCTTCGAAAAGGTAATCAATATAAAAAAATAAGGTAAAGTTATCAATGTCACAAACTATGGACTTTTGCTGATCTAATTTACTTTTCACGATTTCAACAGAGACGCAAAATACCGGCCCTAGAAGTTAAACTCCATACTGGCAGTGATATATTCAAATAAATGTGACATCTCATAAAAGTCACTTCACTTAGAAAAGTACCATGAAGAAAACTGTCTGTCTGGTGTTGGGAAATGTACTTGTTTTGGATACGTTCATTAAAACCTATCAATCCAAATGACTTGAAAATAAATTGTAAACAATTCCATATATACATTGGCTTATTAAAAAAAATCTACTCACTTTTGAATGTCAGCACCAAATGCACCAATCCTTCAAGCAAAACAGATGAATAAATTAACATAATCAATGTAAACTTTATATAAGAAACCCATTTATTGCCAAATTTAGTTGGTAAACAATAGGTCAACTGAAGAGTTTTCAAACAGATATAGAAGGCTTGGCCTTTCTTTGGTTCGAACATTCTGATTCACTTCACTGATGTTTGACTGTCCTACTGAGTAACTATATGTCACAGTATCCACATGTTGCCAATCGATCTATTCATCCAAAGAGAATTCTTTATAGCATTTAAACATGTTCATTATTTCATGAATTTTGAAAAAGCTAATGACAAAAGTTAAAATATCTAGTAAGAAATAAATGATGATTAACCATAAGGTACCTATCAGTTTCACGAGCAAATTAACGGAATATATACTTTTAGAAAGCCAAATGTAATTGAAGGTTGAAAAATAAAATGAAACAGTTCAGGTCACCCTATTGGATCGTAATTATCATAAAAAAGTAATAAAATTTCAAATAACGTAAAGGAATATAAAAGTAGACCTGGTGCTGTGTACCTAAGAGCATATGGAAAATAATGCAATCTCACAGAAAATCGTAACAAGAATCTACCTTCCACGATTATACTTCCTGGGCAACATGGAGGCCATATCGTAGCATGGTGCCAAATATACAGTATGATTTGCACGATGAAAAATATGAAGTGTCGGGACTCCTTAAAAATATCCATAAAACCTTTAGAAACAGAAAATTCTTTGAAACGAATGTTAGTGACAAAAAAGTGCCGAAGAATAAAAATTTGTGTTTCATTGTTTGAAAATGGACATGAAGTTGAGAAACGATTTTGTAAAATATTTTGCAATGTTGCAACATGAATAAGTAGAAAAAAAGTACTAAAGAAGACATGTTTAAAGATCATTTGAACGCCATACCTACATTTGAATACACCTGTAGTACTGCTCATTAGTGTTCTTTGCATCTCCATTTCGGTAAACTATCGACAATTAATTCGATTATGCCCATCACTACTTGAAATCGTTGGCTGAAAGTCTCATAAAGATTTCTGAGGGTTACAGACAGTTATTCTTAGTTATTTTGAATGTACACATTGTGCGTAACATTCAGTATGAGAAATATTTTCAAGACAAAGTTAGGGATTTGAAGGTGTTCAAAGAAAACTAAGAAATAATCAAAAATGTTTGAAGTTTACTTACAGAACATTACAAGTTAGCAAAATAATTGATCAAAGTATTCCTAACTATATTATTATTATTATTAACATGCACATTTTGCATATTTGGTGACTCATTGATATTGACTAGATTAATAAATGCCTCTTGTTCAGCATTAATTTCAGGCACTGGTTCATTTTTGTCGCATGCAATGTTATGGAGTACAGCTGTAGCAACTATCATGGTTTGAACTGAATCTAAAGATACTCTCATTCACATAGAAAGTGCTGGGAATCTACGCATCCAAACTCCAATTTGTCTCTCTACAACATTGCGCGTTCTGATCTGGGAGTCGTTGAGTAAGCCTTCTGCTTCGGTTCTCACTTCTTAAAGGGGGTTATGAGGTACAGCTTTAAAACATAAGCACCATCCCCCAATATAACAGAGTCACCATATAATCCATTCTCAAATGATTGGTATAATCTATAATTTTTAAAAATGTGCGACTCATGAGATGATCCAGGCCATCTAGCAACAATATTCCTGATTTTCAAATTTGCATCAGCAACAGTTTGGACATTTAATGAAAAGAACTGTTTACGGTTACGAAAAATGTCTGCATTGTCTCCTCCAGGCGATTGTATTCTTACATGAGTTCCATCAATTGCTCCAATGCACATTGGGAATTTAGCTTTATCATAGAATGATTGCCGTACAATGGGAATTTCTTGGTTTTCTGGCATTGATATATTTTGTGTTCCTAACGATGCAAGTGCCGCACTCACTTTTCTAACAACTCTGCAGGCTGTAGATTTACTAACACCAGATAACTCAGATGATGTTCTCAGGAACGAACCATTACAATAAAAATTCAAAGCCAGAAGAACTTGATCACTTGCTGATAAACAGTCATTTCTATAGGAAAAAATTACATAATACGAGTAATACGTATAATATAATGGAGTTTTGAAACAAACCTTTCTGTGGGATGCTCAATGAGGTCTCTAATCTTTTCTACAATAAGCTCTCTTGTTCTACAGGTTAATCGGAAACGGTCAAAAAAGTCCTTTTGATCATATTCTTCAAAGAAATTTGTTCTAGGTCTAATTACTTTTGGACGCCGTACCACTTCTTCATCGTCAATAAATGCATTTATGTTGTACAACTCCATCTTGAAAATCAAATGATACAAATGAATTGACAAAACAAGAAGAAAAGTAGGGTTATTTTCTTTCGGTCAGTTCTTAACCAGTGGATTAGGTTATAGTAAAGTTGACCTTTGGTCTACTTCAGGTCAATGCTTGACCACCGTTGGTGAAACACATTTTAATCGTTAACCAATGGATTAGTTCTACTCATTAGGTGACCAGACATTGTGAAACCGGCCCTAAGAGCCAGTGAGCGGCTACCTGCATGTATTTGACCAGACTTAGGTTTTTGTACAGTGAGGCCCCTATACCTACCGTAAATAAGATGGGACCTCCCTAAGTCCAAAGTGGTGGACGCGTTAGGTGCGTAGGTAGGACAGGTATCGATTTTTTAGTAATTTTGAATGCATTTGACGACGTTTGCCGTTTTGATATTTTAAAATATATTATTATTGTGAACGGAAAATAATAATGGCTGAACATTACCTCGCGTTCATTTTCAACGATACCATCGAATCAATTTTTAAGTTGACTCCAAACTCCAAAGCCTTGATAATCTTTGTGCAATCTTCGTGGCTGTAATTGAAATACTCCAGATGCAATACGAGGATATTGCTTGTTAGTTTTCGACGAAGTTAGTCTATGTAATCTGTTTTCAGAGAAGAATGCCTCAAGTACCTATCTGACATTCTTTACTTTCTCAATATTGAGATTGGTGTACCGGTAAAGACAATCATTCTGGTATTATATCCTTTATTTTTTGATGCCAGAACATAGAAACTCTTCCGCATCTTGTTACCTATGCTTGATCTAGTTCATCTTCATGCTATGCAATATTTTATAAATACACGTTGAACCAAATGGGATGCCTGTGTTGATAATAACTGCTTGATTGTTGATGTACCAGTAATTGCTGTAGTAGTTGCAGTAGTTGATGTACCAGTAATTGCTTCAAGTTTCAAGTCAAAATTTACGAAAAAAAAAAACAATGTGTCCCTTCTATACATCAGTAGTTTGTGGGATAGGATCATTTCTGAAGCTAATGAAAACTTTGCAATTAGAGTTGCCAGA